TGAATTATATCAGAACAGCGTCAGTATGTCGTGAGATGTTGTGCATTTAATGAAGGAAGAGCCTGTGGCTTAGCCTACAGGTGTTTTGGCTTGTGCATTCATCGTGCTGCTGCTAGAGGCAGCCGCAGTCTTCATTGCCTTCATCTTCATGGACTTCGCGAAGCTCTTCTCCCCTTTCGTAGTCGTAGGTGGATTAAGTTCGTCATCTAGTAGATCACCATCGGCGGCCAGCTGCAACGTGTCCTGCTGCTTGAGTAGTTCTACTAGTTGTCTATGCTTGAAGACCTCTGCTGGTAGTGGAATATCAGCCGTGGACTGGACGTTTGATTTGGGGTCGTAATCTAGTCGGCGAAGAGCTACGCTGCCTTCTCTGAGTGCAAACTCGAAGAGCACATACGGGACTAAAGATTTTGCGACATTCAAGTCGGTGTTTCCTGCGACAGGACATTCCGGAGCAAACTTCGAACGTTTAGGCTCGTACTGTTTCTCCTCCCAATGCAGACGCATAGTCGGTGGACGTTCACCTTGTGCATTCCGGTGCGACTTGAAAGTCGCGTAGCGCCTGTACCCGAGAAGGTCTTCTGGTTTTGTTGTTGTCTCCAGGACGTACAGCAGCTGCACCTCCTGCCGCGAGAAGCCACTCTCTTGCTTACTTGCAGGCGCTGGCGCCTTGCCGATTGCTGCGGACAGATCACGTTCTTTCCCACGCGCCTCGTAAGCATCATCTAAGAAGCAAGAGGAGACGACTCGGGCCTGTGCCTTAGTTGATTTCTTCAGTTCTTCGTTTACGATCTTACCAGGGAGGAGATCACGATCTTGCCAGATGTCGAACAGCTCCTTGCGATGTGAGTTGCTCAGTTTTTCCACGACATCGCGTTCGATATCTGGATTCTCTGCGAGACATCGCTCCAGTGCTCCCATTTGGAGACTCTTCTCTAGACTTCGATAGATCTGACGAACAACGATGTCGGGCGTGATCCACTTCTCATCTACTAGCTTGACAGTGTATCCGCCATTGTCTTCATCCCGGGCGTATTCGATCCTGCCGGCATAAACGTCAGTCTCTCCAACTAGTCCACCTGTAAAAGACACTTCTGCTAAGATGTTAGGAGTTCGGTAGCCCTCATCTTCGTCTTCCGCTAGGTGATAGCCTTGGCACCAAGCGCCGGAGTTGTAAAATGAGGTCACGCGCACGAGGCGCTTACTCTTTTCGCGAAGAAGAACCACTTGCAAGACGTCGCTGATCTTCTTGGTCAAGTTTTCCTCCTCGGCGATACGTTTTCCCGCAACGATGTTAACACGTCGCTCGTCCTTCGTTGCAGTTGTAGTCTGTATTAGATACTCAGCCATGACCCCCCGGAATCCAAGATCTACTGCAGAAAAACTAACGAAGCGTTTCTAATCTGCTGCGAAGCTAAGGACTTTGCCTTCCTTAGAATCTCCATGGTGTTCTCGTTTCTCGGCGCGGTTCTTGCATAACAGACGAAGATCAGCAAACTCGCCTGTCATAGCACGCTGCTCAGTAGTCTGCTTGCCGCGACGTTTGTAGAAGTCTTTCAGTAGTTGCCTCACGTCTTCGGAGTCATTTCCTTCTACTACTTGCTCTTCGATCAGCTCCATTGTCCTAGTGATGTTGATGGCAGGGAAAGTATTCGCAACCACAGGGTCTGCTGCTGGAAATCGTGGATGGACAACTCTTGCAGCCATACGAGACATCTGCTTTGACCACTGTGAACCCATTGCAGAACGCCAGAGCTTGAAGTGGATCTTCTTTTCTTTCCACTGCGTTTCGGCGTCACGCTCGAAAAGTGGAAATGATTTCAGCGCGCGTCGGACGTAAGAACGAAGAGGAGCATACTTCTCCAAGATGATGCACTTCAGAGCCCTCTTCGCCGTGAGTGTTAAAGGGAACTCAATTCCGTCGGCCAATTCGAGGGCCGCCTCTGGAGTAATCTCGATCTCATCACAGACAACCGCTTCGAAAAGGCCGAAGCTTGGATCTCGCCGCTCGAAGTACCAGTTGTTCACGATTCTCTTTAGAAGAAGATGAACAGCATCCAAATGGCGATCACTACGACCGGACGCTAGTACTGCATCAAGGAACAAGGTGTGCCAGATCATGGTTCTGTTGTTCATGAGGAGCATCTGCAGCTCCGGCGTGGTCCATCTTGATTCCCTGCTAGCTGATGGGTCGATGAACTTTTGAGCTATCCGCACCAGCTCGCCGTTTTGCAGTTGGGTTCCTCTGCACTCTTCGCAGACAGTGCCTCTATGAGCATGTAGTACTCGAGATGACCTCGCGACAAGTCCAACTGTGCCGCTAGGTGGTTGTCCGTCAGCTTATTCAGTACCTTCAAGAGGTCAGACGCATATCCGACCCAGCTACTAGGTGGCGGGGCTTCCTCATCTTCTGAGTCTTCTACGATGTGCTTCAAAGCAACGTTGTCGCCTTGACCATCGCCAGCAGCATTTTGGACTGGAGCTTCTTCCCGATCTCTCTTCTTGGTTTTCCTTTCTTTCTCCTTCGTGGACATGACCTCGGCAACATAGAGGACCTTATCGAGGCCACCTCTATCTAGATCCTGGGCAAGCTTCGTTGTTCTCATCCACCGGCTGTTGGTTCCATGCCACAGCTCGATATCTGAAGATGATGATAGAAGACATGACTCCCAACGTTTAGAGGAGCTTCCTAAGGGAGAAACAAGGGAAGCATCGAACTAAAATGGTAAAGAAAGCGATGAGTTCTAGTGGTGAATCTTATGAATTTGGTGTCCGTTTTCTTCTTGAGGACCTCTGGCCACGTTTCTCTTCAAAAGTGAACAACTTTCGAGGACAAACGAGGCACTTTTTTCAGGAGGCGTCCGGAAAGTTTCTAGTATGGATTGTGAAGCATTTCTATAAAAAGATACGACTTGTCTTGGGCTCATTTGGCTCATTTTTGAAGAGATTTCTCGAAGCTCTGGAAGCTTCGGATCAGAGGTCCTGAACTACTTACAATTCTAATCGCGAAGTGAAGAGAATACTGCCGGCCAAAGCCTCCGAAAGTGTCGCACAGCCAGAGGTTCGCAACAGGCTGCTCTTGTGTTTTCGCTCCACCACACCGCCTGCTGCTGCCTCTTCTCTTAGCTCCTTCAACGTCTCGTGAAAGTGCCCTTGGTTCTCTGCGCTGGAGCGAGGACCACGCAAGAACCTTCGCCAGGCTGCAGCGCCCTCAGCTAGCTCTGGAACTAATGCCCGGACATCATTCGAGAGTCGGTGGCCAAGAGGTAGACGCCAGATTCCAGGGGCAAACTGGTACAACGCTTGGACTGCTCGAAGTTCGCTACTTCCTTGATCTGGATAGCTGTGGACCTCGACCACAGGCAAACTAGTATCAATTTCCTCCTCCTCATCATCTTGTTCAGTAAAAACCATCCAAGTACAGATGTCAACGTCTTCTACTTTGATGGTATTTGATCTACAGCACCTTTCCATCATCTTGTCCCCAAACATGTGGCTACACATCGCGAAATATGCAGCACAGCTCCAGCGGCTCGCCTCGCGGCCTTCTCGGGTTTTGAGATACAGCTTGCGGGCGTCTTGCTGTGGCAACGGGAGCCAGTGTAGTTCCTCGCGATATTCTGGAATATCATCTCCGAGCAATGCACCATTCTGCACCATCCTCGCGGCCGCTGCCTCAGAGACAGGCACATCATCAACAAAGAACACCTGGGTGTCGAGATACTTGAGACAGGACTTGAATTTCTACGAGAAGAGAGCTGCAGCACTAGTTTCTTACAACTTGAAGAAGAAAGGGTCACAACTGAGAGGAAAGAACTTCTTCAGTACAAAACAAGTAGAAGCATTTACATTTGCACCGTAAGTGTGCACTTTTCTGACGTCCGAATAGTCATGCCCCAGCACATACATGCTAAAGGGAGACCCAGTCTCCCGCTGTAGTAGTTCGCTGAGGATATCGATGGCGCCATCACTGCAAGCTCCCTCCCGCAATCGAATGCACGCGAGTGAGGTAGTCCACCGGGAAAGAGTCAACTTCTGAAGTGTTGAGGTAGTAGAAGACTTTCTGCAGGGCGTGCAGGAAGATCTCGATGAAAGTAGTGCATGTAGAGAAGAAGCATGCCAGAAGAAATTACCTCCAGAGTCAGACTCGGCTGGCCAGCCACATGGCGCGAGGTGGTAACTGAATGAAGTGCCCCCTTGACGTAGTTATCGAGGTCCTGTTCAACAGATTCAAGATCCTCGGGGCGAGCTGCTCTCTCCAAGATTGAACGAAACGTGCAACCATTTAGAAGAAGTCGCGCTTTCTCTTTTCCGCCTTCGCAACAATTGTAGTACCAGTAGAAGACGTTGACCTGTTGACTTACGAGATGCGTTCTCTTGCACAGTCGGAGTGGAAGTGGATGAGTCTACTTCTCTAGTCATTCTACTCACCTCATCCACTAAAGACACTGTGCAAGAGGTCACTATAGTAATCCACTGCAAGCCACCGAAGAAGTACTATGTCTCGAGCTGCTGCTTTCCGAGGTGGGACCGGGCAGATGATTCGTCTGTCGGGTGGCAGCTGGGAGAGGTCCTTCTGGATTTTCTTGAGTTGAGGCACGACGTTTCCCTTTTTCGGCAGCAGGGATAGAATGGGGAATCGGATCGTATTATCTACTTGGTTGTAGACTGGAACATGCCACACAGTGCTGCTGCGAATCCTCTTCTTCGGCGCGCTAGCCTGTGACTCGTCCTCCGAAGACCGATCGGATTGGGCGACCAGCATCTTGCCCTTTCTTATGTGTTTACTTTACAACATCTGTGCATGTATTGCTTCACAGTCTCCACTGACTTGCTTGCTTCTGTCTTATTTTCTCCAACAGAATTCCAGCCGTTTTAGTATCTTTCGTTCCTTTCAATACTTGTTTTTCAATCTCAAGACACTCGAAACCTCTCACTCTCTCAATTCTTCATCCCGATTGCAGCAGAACAAGCAGCTCAAGAAGGAAAAGGAAGCAATCGCCAGCAGTTCACTTATCTGTTGCAGCTGTTCGGCAGCAGGCCTCAACCAAGTTGAAGCACAAACACCGAGCAGAAAAGCGAGTCCATCAGCAGTTTCATTCGTTCGACATCTTTCAGACGTTCATCGAGGTGTGCTGTTTCTTAAGGTTCAAACTCTTCTACATGAACTTAGAACCATCGTAAAAGATATTACAAATTCACTCTAGCGAGCTAGTGGCAGAGAAGTACTGAAGAAAAAGAAGACGATCGATATACTACAACATACGGCAACTGAGTCCCAGCTGCACCCTATTTCATAAATTCGCATCGAGATCATTCAAATCAAAACAACTTTATTGGAGGGGGTTCTTGTATGAAAATACTCGCAGTTTGTTTATCTACCAGCATCAGGCTCATGCAACTCATCCCATAACAAGTTAAATTTCACGACCTGAATCACTATAAGCTAGCATTTGACGAAGTGAGATCCGAACTTGAATAACTCTCAGCATTTGCCTACAAATCACGCATTAAATCACCTTCATGTCGTTAATTGAAATCAAAAACCTTATGCATACCCGTCTGACTGTTCCTATTGGTTCGAATGTAGTAAACTACTAAACCTGCACAACCATCATCATTGCCCCTGTATGCTCTGAGATAGCGATAGACCTCCCCACTCTTCAGACCCCCACCTCTCATCTGTGACGCCCCTTTCATCCGCTGCGTGGCTTGCCGGAGCTGCTGGACGTGGCCTTGGTGTTCTTGTCTGCATCAGCGGCATTTGCGTCGTCGGACTTCTTCTTGGAGTTGGCCTTGCTTGCTGGACTCTTCTTGGCCTTCTTGACGCTCTTGCTTCCCTCCTTGTTCTCATCGTCAGACATGGGCGGACCCTCTGGAGTGGCTTGCGAATCCTTGTCATTGTTGTTGGTGTCAGTGGCATTGCCGGCCGGGCGCTTGGAGGAAGTACCGTTACCACCAACCAACCCCGACGTGCCTCCGGAGCCACCAAGAGAACCAAACTCAGGGCTGAGCGCGCCGCTCTGTATGTTGAGTTGTTCGTAATTCTTGATCGAGGAAGCAAATCGCAGGGGATATAGATAAAAAGTGCTTGATTCTAAATAATCTAAATCGGGATGAGGTGACTGCGTCCGTTGCTTATTTCGTGAATTCTGTAAAGGATAAATCCATCGTCATGTGCTCTAATATTCTAGTACGAAGCCAGCGCCGCCGCCAAGACCCATGCCCATCATGGTGTTTGCCATCTGGCCATTGGAAGACGCAGCAGACGAGATAGAGGATCCACGCGGCATGGACTGTTCATTGGTAAGGGCCAGCATGCTTGGACCACCGGGGAACTGCATGAACTGCTGCATGTTGCCGTTGCAGATTGCAGGCACGTCAGACATCAGCTGGCTCATCTTCTGGCGGTATTCTTCCATAGCGACAGCACGGCGAAGCTCGATCTCCGAGGGAATCAAAGCGTAAGCAGATTGGCGCTTCTCGAGGGTGGTCTCATGGATCAACCAAATCGCGGTGGCGCGTTGGTTCTTGCGCTTGGGGACCTGTAGATTCTAATGGTGAAGGTTGTCTCTTAGCAAGGTAAGTTCAAGAAGAGGCCTCGCCCACAGCTGAGCCAACCTCTTCAACACCTGCAATATCTTTTCATCTCAAGGAAAACCGAAGCAGTGCCTAGGTGTGTGTTAGTACCTTGGTGTTCTTCTTGAAGCCCAGGTTATTCAGCCAATGAAGAAACTGCGTCTCGTGGGTCACCTCTTTGCAGAGCTCGGTGATGCGTTTCTTGCAGCAAGTGGCCATAATCTCCTGCCACTGGTCCTTTTCGAGATCGCCGAAAACTGAAAGGTCAAAGACAGAGGAATACGAAGGAAGAGTATGGATCTTTATGGGGGAGGTCTTGTTGTAGTTTCTAAATGTTTCACCTCTTGTTTTTGTCTTCAGAAAAGAAGGAACCGAACCTATATGGTCAGTAAATGAATCAAAAACACAACTAGAATCACCAACAAAGTCCATAAATATACCGCTTATTCAAACGTACCTTTCACACCTCTATCATAATCGCCCTGCCCGAGGTCATGCGGAGCCGTGTAGCCGCCTTCTTCGGCTTCAAGCTTCTCGATGCGCAGCCCCGTCTTCTTGTGCTCAAGCCTAGCCGCCTCAAGGCCGAGCTTGTTGATGCGCTTATCCAAGCTCTTCTCGTAGTTGTCGGACATTTTGTAGTTGCACAACGACGCTAGTACGCAGGTGTGACCAGTTAAACAAGTCGATCGAGGCCTTCAAGGACGTGGAGAACTAAGCTGTTAGTCGAAGCATGCAGATGAGCATTTGTTGTCACTCTGAGATCCAGCGCCACTAGATACTGCCGATGCCACGACTCTCGATGATCATCTTCAGCCTTTGCAACTCCATGATAAAAACCAAAGAAGACCGAGTAAATTCCTCTTGGTTGGTCGACTATGTTCAGAACCAGTTCCTCACCCAAAAAAACGGCAACCGAATGAGAACACCTCCCGGGCAGCACTAGAATCTCGACGAAGGAAGTCTCCGAGTACAACATCAGCTTCTTCTTTATCATTTAACGACTAACATCATGCCCGAATGCGATCAGCAAGCCACTCAGTAGAAAACAAGCTAGCCAAGCAGGTCTCAGTGTATCGCGAGCCACTTAGGCGACCTTCTAAGGCGTTCCGACCCAACTCCAACGGTCGGGCGCTCATTTGTGTACGTTTTTCAGGAGCATGCTGACCTTCATATCCATCACGGCCTCTCCAGGCTCCACTCCTACTGCCTGCACCAGCAACCGACCCAGCAGCAGCCTACCAGAAGCTCAGAGCCTATCTAGTTCGTTAAGCTAGCTAGTTAAGTAGCTACTTAAACCCCACTGAAAATTGAAAAATTTACTTTTTATCTTTTTAACCAATATACTTTTTAAGCTGGCCATAGTGGGTTCGAGCCCCACATCGGGCGCTTTTTTTTCACTCGCGCTTCACGGCGTTTTCAATGCTCGCTTCGAGAAAATTCCAC